CCCCTCGCACAGTGATTGCTGGACATGGGCACCAGCGACCCCCGTGACCCAAAATGGAATAAGCGGGTAAAGATAATGGATGGATGGATATATATATAAATATATATAATTTTCTTTTATTTTTCAATTCATGTTTTTTTATGACTGTCTACTGTCGTACTGATAAATATCTCCTGGAGGGTAAACTATATTTTGGCTACAAGTATTCAATCAAGCTGCAAAATCCTTTGTTTTCTACAACTGGTAAGCAATTGGTCATCAATTACAATGACGTTTAGCAACTTCTTGACAATTCCTTTAGCTTTCATATTGTCCAACAGAAGTTTACCTTGCTGTTGGAACGACTTGAGAAGGGAATTTGCCGGCTCCTTTTGTCTGTCTCACGCCTGGCTAAACAATCCTTGTGCTCTTTAACGGGGCACTTTTACAAAATGTTTAAGTTCGATATATTGTAGGTCTCAACGGAGCTTTCTCCTCTCCGTACAGCGGCTCTGCAGACATTGCACGTTGCTGTCTTGCTGTGTTTCTAGTGCAATATATTTTCACACAGCGGACATGTTACGATGAAAAGTTGATTAGCCGTTAGCCACAGTGCTGCTCAGTCCTCACATATTTACTCACATTTAAGCAGGTTGAAAACTATGAAATGGATTTCCTGAATGTGAGGCGGGTCTTATTACTCTGGGTTTCATGAGACACGCCTCTTCAGAAAATCCATTCCATAGATTGAAGCCAACTTGCAGAGCAGCTAGCAGGGAATCACATGTGGAGACGTTTCAGCAGACACAGACATGCATCATGGATCGGAAAAATCCGATACGTAAAATGATGCTGGTATTGGAACCCGATACCAGATCGGGCCCATCCCTACTGGAAATACCAGGTTGACCTTCAACTTTTGGTGTTTTGAAGTCTCATCTTAGAACACATCTGTATTCACTGGCTTTTAATCCAGCATGAGAGCTAATACTTTTGCACATTTTTAATGGTTTTGGTCTTTTGTATTTTCATATTTTTAACTTTTTATGGTCGCTAGAATTTTGTATTGTCTTTTTACTATGTTCTGTGCGCAGTACTTCAGCCAGTGACAGTTGTTGTACATGTGCTATGTAAAAATTTTGACTAGCTTTTTTTTTTTTTTTTTTACATAAATGATTGTTGTTTACCTTGTTTTATCAATTTTACCAGGTTTTTGCTGTAGTGGCTCTACTCAAGATGAAAAACGCTCCTATTAAATGTTATGGTTAAAGGCAGTTTTACATGTAAAGTGTAATAGATACACCAAAAGTTTTGTGAACAAAATTAACTTTTGCATTTTACATATTGAATTTAATATGTGGAGATTTCTAATCTAAGTGTTCTTCACATTTCACATCTACAATGAAGGATATTATTTTGGCCACTGCAGGGTCCTGTAACCTCCTGTGTGTAGCTGCTGGGTTTAAAGTCTAGTGCAGTCATCCAGAAATTGCAACATTTAACACTAAACACAAAGTTTATAACAATCTAATATCCTCATACAAATTTTTGTATGTTTTATCATCACATATTTAGCAGAAAAACAAAAAAATATTTGATGTCGATAAGAGTCCTACCAAAACTGAGAGAAGCATGCGAACGCTTGCTTAGCCCTTCAGCTAACTCCTGCACTTTAGCCCACATGAAATCATGTCAGAAGTGGGACATGAGTTTATTTAAGACTTTGTAGCCCCCCACCCCCCACTTCATCGTGTGTGACATACAGTGGTGCTTGAATGTTTGTGAACCTTTATAATTTTCTATATTTCTGCATAAATGTCCTAAAACACCATCAAATTTTCACACAAGTCCTCAAAGTAAATAAGAGAACCCAGTTAAACAAATGAGACAAGAATATTATACTTGGTCATTTATTTATTGAGGAAAATGATCCAATATTACATATTTGTGAGTGGTAAAAGTATGTGAACCTTTGTCCTGATGCATGCTCAATAGTCAGAAAAATGTAACAAGGTTGACTCAGGTCCTCTGAACAGATTCTTGTTTTTTTAAATGTTTTGTCTTATCCAAAAGGCTTCTTCAGTCTGAGATCTTGTAACAAGCTCAGTCTGTGCTGCAATACATTTATAACAAGATCTCAGGCTGAAGAAGACTTTTGGATAAGACGAAACATTCAAAAACACAAGAATCCGTCCAGATGACCTGACTCAACCTTGGTACATATGTGGACCTTTGCTTTCAGTTCCTGGTGACAGAAGAAAGGTCCTCAGAAATCTCCTTTGTTCCTGTCATGGTCCACTTCCACAAACATATGAAGATCAGACTTTGATAGATCCTGTTCTTTAAATCAAACAGGGTGCCCACTCACACCTGATCATCATCACATTGATTGAAAACACCTGACTCTAATTACACCTTCAAATTAACTGTTAATCCTAGAGGTTCACATACTTTTACCACTCACAGATATGTAATATTGGATCATTTTCCTCAATAAATAAATGATCAAGTAGAATATCTTTAGCTCATTCGTTTACCTGGGTTCTCTATTCGTTTAACTGGGTTCTCTATTCGTTTAACTGGGTTCTCTATCTACTTTTAGGACTTGTGTGAAAATCTGATGATGTTTTAGGTCATATCTATGTAGAAATATAGAAAATTATAAAGGTTCACAAACATTCAAGCACCACTGTAGGTCTGTTATCAGAACAATATATTAAAAACGCAACTATTTTAGCCAATCTAAAAAAGTTCAATCTGGTCCAGAGGACCAGATTGAACTTTTTTAGATTTTTCTACCTGGATTATTGAGCATGCATCAGGATATTTTAGCCAACGTTTTCTCAGTCGAGCATAAAACTGTTTGGTGAAACTTCTGGTGAAATAATAAAAGTCATAGTCAACAAAACAACAAATCACCTTCTCAACACCATCGGGGAATCAACTACCACACAATTAGAATACAACAGTTTGACAACAAACTTTATGTATGAAATATGATGTGATATCTATGTTTAATGGCACCTTTATTTTGTAAAAGAAAAGTACTCAAACACACAGAATTAACTTTATTTTCTAAAAATCCTGAACTGTACTAGTGTGCGTGTGTGCACGCGTGTGTAAAATGTTTAAATGAAACACTTATTAATCTGTTATTAATTAAACTGCAGTATTTTTCTGTTTATTTGTTTAAATTGTATTGATTTATGTAAAAAAAAAAAAAACATCTGGTGAGTATAATGTGGTTGCATAATAAAACATGCAATTTAGAAAAATTAAAAATAATAAAGTGAAAAAATATTTTGAAAAATAAATATAACTCTTAGGCTTCTAAGTACATATGCTTGTTTTCTAGCCTAATGTTGGACACAAACCAGTCTATATTTAACAGCATAAAACTTGGAACTTTTCTTAAAATTACAACTATTGAATGAATTACCGAAATGACTAGTTTCAAATTAAACAGTCCAGATCAGGTTAGATGCATGTTGAATGTTTCTTCTTCTTAAACCTCTTATAACAAAGGCGGGCAACATTTTTTTTCCAAAGGGCCACATCAAGAGGTTTAAAGCAATCAAAGGGCCGCATAAAGAATTGGAAAATTAATTTTCTTTGTGACAGATAATCTAGAAAACCTTTTCCAAGCTTTGTCTTATTAGCATAGTTAGCATGCTTTATAAAACACGTCTTTCCAATATCCTTCAGGAACATAAGACAAACAGTATTCTGTAAACTTGTGACAATATATTATATACATTAGCTTAACATGTTATACACGTTAGCATAAATATGCTAAACAAATTTATATATTTGTATTTCCATGTTCTTAAGGTTCAGTCTAGTTCTGAAAAATTTAAAACATGTTTGTTTGTTTTTTAAGTTTTGCATAAGAAGTTTAATTTAATTATTTTGGCCCCCGGGTCTTAAGTTGCCCACATCTGTCTTATAATAATTAAAAAAGGCCCTCCTCCTAAAATTACAAACAATGTTGAAAACTTGACACTTCATTCATTCAGACTCGTTAGTGACAAAGTGTAGTTACTCTTACAATAATTTATGATTACTTGATAACACACCTGCTCATACATGTCAGATGTCTAAAGAAGCAATTCACCCCTTTAAATATTTTATTCTTTTAAACTTAAAACACAAAAATAGATCAATTTAACTATCTTTAACATTTTGAGGCTAGTCATTTTTTACAAATAATCACGTAGAGTGAATCAAAACAAGCGAACACCGACAAGTCAAACCAAAACGCAAACAAAACGAAAATAAAACTGTTGTTACTGTTTTCCTTACAGCTGTGTAAGCTAGTAAGTAAGCTAATGTTGCTAGCTGCTCTGATGGTAGAAGAAAAAATATCAAACAAGTCGTGGTTTGTGTGCCTCGCAGGTCCAGCTGAGAGACGGACTGCAGCTGGATGTGCAGCTGCTGTTTTGGAGCTTCGTGAGGAGCTTCTGCTGGAGCAGAGACGACGCCCGACTGCTGCACAAACCAGGAGGCGCCGCCATTACCAGCCGACGCTAGCTAGCCGTTAGCATCATCGAAGGCCTGAAGGTTTGACGAAGTCATCCTTTTATTTACTGGTGGTTTCTAGTAGATTTATGAATATATACTGCCTACAATAAATCTAATTATCTGCTTTAAATCTGACCAAAAGCCCGCTGAGCCCTTAAAACCAGTGGGCAAGTTTACCGCAAGCTAACGCGACAGCCGATGCTAGCTTTGCCTACAACCAGGGATGCTGCAGTGGCATATTTTAGGAACGGAAATATTTTAAAATTATGTATTTATACCCATTTAAAGTTATTATAGATGGTTACAGAATATACTAGGGATATATTTACGCAGCTCAATTAGCCAGGGAAGTGGTCATCAATGCACATTTGTTTGTATTTTCTGAACACCATTTCCTATGAATGGCAGCAGTTTTGCGGGGATGCAGCAGTACTCCACATAAATCACTGTTCACGCAGTTCTGTTAATCACGCCACAGAGGTGTTCGTGTGTGTGCGAACCTTTTTGATATTGTAAACACGGGTCAACATCCCGATGCCTCTGTCGTTGAGGATGGTGAGTTTTTCTGCCAGTTTCTGCTGGCTGGGCTGGATCACTCCCCGAGACATGATGATCTTCTCGCCTAAATCTCCGACTCGATCCAGAAAAAAAAAACTAATCCGCAGCCACTGGTTTGGAAAAATGTAGCTAAACCGAAACTGGAATTTAGTAGTTCTCTTTTAGATTTGGTCCATGTTCGGATATTCAGGGACAGCGGCTTCCTGTACTCCACCCCACCGTCTCCCTGTCTGTTTTTTTTCGGTCACAGGGATAAGGAGGAGTTGTCCTGGTTTTTACAACGAGCCTGCCGTGGTGTGTTCACTGCCCCTCGGTAATATCAGCTTCAACGACAAATACTCTGATTTTCTAATGTATCCAATAAATAAATGATGATTTTATTATTATTATGAATAAATAACTTATTTAAAAATATTACTCAAGCCTGAAGGATAAAGAAGTATAAAATAGCATAACTAAACTACCACAAACATACACAAATAGTTGTAAAAGTGAAACTAACAAGCTGTCCCTAAAGAGACATACAATAAAATAACCACGTAACAAATAAAAACAGACCGAAGTGAGGCATGAAATTCATTCATTCAACCTTTATTTAAACAGGTTAATCCCATTGAGCCTCGGGGACTCATTTACAGGAGAGGCCTGATTTTAACAAAAAGTGATGACAACAGTGGACAAGAAAGACAATCACAAAGGATGCGTACACAATGTTTGTTTTTTTTAACAAGTGCAAATCAAATGATATTTAAAAAGGAAAAGTAACACACAAAAAACAGCTAGGTTCTAAGGGGGTGTAGAAAACTAAAAACAAGAATATGTCTGAATTGTTTTTTTTTTTTACCAGGAACTTAACAGATGTTCAAAACCACTTAAAGAGGTCAAGGTCGAGAGCGTCGGATCTTTTTGCAAGATATATCAGGAAACAGGAGCGGAGTAGGAGAAGGCCCTTTTGCCAAGTTCAGTCCGCACTGACATTATGGAGACATAATGAACTTGAACATAAATTGTCTCCATAAGTTGACATATTTCAAAACAAAGCAACTCCCCCTATTTCAGAGGCTCGGGAGCTGGAGGGTTCTATAGTCTCTTTCAGCTCTTAGTATTTCTCCAGCTGCTCCTTCTTCCTGATGTCACAGTCACTTGGATTGCTACATCTATCATAACTGCCTTCTTTTGTTGCTTGTCGACAACAATTGGTTAGTCATCACCTGTTTGTCAGACTGGATCTGAAAGTCCCACAATATCTTATAATATCTGTCCATTCTCCACCACCCATGGTGGAGTCTCCCACTTTTACTGTGGGACCCCCAGTTCATATTCAGCACAGATGTTCCTGTAGTACTACTTGGATACACTAAGATACACACTAAACAATACACTAAAAGATCTAAGATATACACTAAACACTAATACTGTAATGTAAAATAATATGGTATATTAAACAGCAGTCTGAACATGAGTCTGTTGTGAGCAGATGGGTATGAATTACTACAACAGCATGAGATAATCAGCAGCACAGATAAGTCACTTTAATCAAAGTCACCGTGCAAATATGTTAAATGAGGGAGAAAAATAAACGAGAACTTGAAAAAAATTATCTAATGTAAAAAAATACCATTGCATAAATGAAATAAGAACATTTGAAACAAATTAATAAGAAGTTGTTGACGGAGTAATGAGTTTATGTTTTGAACAAACAAATCCAAACAACAAAAGCAGCATTTTCATTAAAACACAGACTAACATTTTATCTTCACTTAATTGCTATTCAAAAAAGAACGAGTTAACATGAACTACCGTGGGAGAGAGGAAGGTCACGGTTCTGCATCAGACGGTGTTCTCTTTATTATAAGCTGTCACACATAAAGTCTCAGGGCTCAGTTAAACCCTCTCATGAATCGATTAATTAAAGCTTTCCAGAAATGACTGTTTTATTATTACTATCTCTGATGTTTTTGACATACCCACACCACCACCCCAAACTATTTAGCACTGTCAAATTTATCTTAAACTATGTTTCATTCATTCAACATTTATTTATACAGGTTAGTCTCATGGGGTCATGAGGACTCATTGACAATAGACCTGTTTTAAACAAAACCATAAATGAGGTACATACAACAATAAACAATATTTTGAAAGCATATAAAATAAAATCATATGAAATAAGTGATATAAAACAAAATAACATGCTGTAGCTGCACTCAGGCAGAGACATGTAGGAGGAGATGTATGAAGGCAGCAGACCAAGAAGTGATTTAAATATGAAAATGTACCACTAAGAGAGTCTATTGCCCCTTTTCCATTAGTACCGGTACAGGCCGACTGGACCCTACTTGGCCCGGTTCTGAGGCTTTTCCATTAGTACCGGTACTTAGCACCTGTTACTATTTTCAGTACCCTTGGCTCTGTGGTTCTAACCGGAACAAGAGGTACTAAAACGTGACGTCAGAACACTGTCGGTCACTGATTGGTCGGGGGCGGAGTCGGGGGCGGAGTCACTGGATCCTTCAGAAACTTTTCAAAACAATAATCCGCCATTTGCAATTTCTCGGACTGGAGCAGCGGCTGGACTTATTTCAAAGATTTTAAAAACAATACTGACAACATCTTGGTCTAATGCTGATGTGCTGGCATTTTTTTGTGCTTGGTGGCCTACAACATAATTCAGAGCAAGCTGGATGGAGCTCTGCTGGTGTACCCCGATCCTCCCTCCGGG